ATGGTGATGGTGATGGTGATGGTGATGATGATGGTGGTGGTGATATGATGATGGTGGTGATGATATGATGGTGGTGATGGTGATGGTGATATGATGATGATGATGGTGGTGCTGGTGGTGATGGTGATAGATGGTGGTGGTGATATGGTGACGGTGATGATGATGATGATATGATAGTGGTAGTGGTGATAGTGATATGGTGATGCTGATGGTCATGATGATGATGATAATGATGATTACTGAGGAACTGAGGACTTGATTAGAAAATAGAGACTATATGTTATTTTCCCCTTGCTCTGAAATTTATTGATTTTATTGGTGATTGTGAGTAGTTACCTAATCTTATTAGCAAGTTTCACCACCTTTAGAATAGATATATCACCACCTCCAATCTTTCTCAGATTTGCTAAGAGAACCGAAGGGCACTTAAGATGCACCTTATCAGAAATAACACACAAAGAAAGAGGCTATGTCAGTTGTGAAATGGATGGGGAAGGAAATACCCCAAAGATGAAGTGTATCACCACAGGCGGCCACAGCGAAGCTTAGGTGCCAGACATTTTGCATGTATTTTCTGGTCCTCATAACCCATCAAAGATAATCATATCATTGCCAGAACAAAGACTATATTATGTAATAATGGAGAAAACTGAGGCTAAAAGGGAGGTTAAGATACTTTCCCAAGTTCACACAGTTAGCAAGAGGGACAACCAACAAAGTCCAGTTCTGTCCCCCAAACTCATGTGCTCTCTCTCGCCATCTAGCGGGAAAAAGTATCATCAATCAAGTAACCTCACAATTATTTAACTGAAGTCATGATGAGTGCTGTTATCATACACACATACACATTTCTATATTGTGAGATACATAACCCGAGTTCGGGGAATGAGTAAGCTGACATTTAAGCCGGTATCTGAAGAATAAGCATGCGCTGATGGGAAGAAAGAAAGGTAGAAGTTCAAAGTTCTCCCTCGCCTGCCAAGAATGTCACGTTTTCTCCGTTCGAGAGGTTGGGGGGGCAACGGGGACGGCCACTTTCTACTCTCGGCACTGCCTCTGCTGTTTGAACAGCTGGAACAGGGAAGCATCGTGTCCACAAAGAATCGTTCCTAACTTCGTGGGACCACAAAGCACGATGTACTGGCTGAGGGCGGGCGACAGGATTCAAGACGCACCCGGTCCACAACCGGCCACGCGCGCCGGTCAACAGACAAGGCCCGACCTCAGAGACCAGCTCTCCTTATCGCCGCTTGTGCTTTGCGACAACAGCTATTTCGCAACTTTCCAGAGATAGTGCTTCCTGTTGATTAGCAGAGGCTCTTCCTCATAAACGCTTTTATTTTTATTTTTTTTTATTTAGGCTGGAATAATAGTATTTATTACTCGCAGGAAGTCATTTAAGCTTTTAACGTCCGTCAGCTGCTCATAATTTTAACACTCAAATCCTTCTTATCGACGGAGCGAAAGTTCAGGCTACGGTAAATGTTGGCTATCCGTGTCACAGTATCTTTGGGGGAAAAGGAGAGATACAACAGAATCCCATGCTAAGCTTTTCTCTAGCACCAGGGTGACAGACTCAGACGGGTACAGTAGCCAGGAGGGCATTCAGTGAAAAATAAGTCCAGAAGGGACTGTGCTCAGAGAGCTGGGGTCCTGTCTGAGGGGCCTGGTCCAGGCAAAGTCTACGCAGGAGTTTGGTCCAGTGTCGCCACACATCCAGGTTTCACTCGCTTTGTTTTTAAGAGAAACCAGCAATCTCACAGAGGATCTCCATGATTAACGTTGGCATTTAATTTGTTTTAACACCATGCAGTTCAAATAAAACACCCCCATGATCTGTGACTTGATGACCTTGGTGCTAGCCCGCGGGACCTTAAATCTAAGCGTTCAATCAACATCCAGCGAGCTCCTGTCCGTGCCAGGCACAGCGACGGGCACCGGAAAGACTAAGCACCTGCCTTTGAGGGGCTCACTCGAGTCACATGATGTGCAGGACACAGATAGTTACTAGCTGGCAGGATACGATGAAATCCGTCCTGTGAAATCGCACACGGGTGATTAGGATGGTGAAAGGAGAGCATGCGCAGCGCAGTGAGCGCTCAGGGAGGCGGCGAGCTTATGTTGTAAGCTGGCATCGGGGGGAGGAGCACACGTTCCTCCAACAAAGGAAGAGCGCTGCGGGCAGAGGAGGCGCACCTGCGGGGCTGCGAGGCAGCGTGGAGCTTGGCATGTGAAGTGAAAGGGCCCGAGTGATTGGTACACAGCATACACGGGGGAAAGAGTCCCTCCTGACAAGAACGGAGAGATAAAACGGGATCATGAAAAGTACTCACCCCCCACCCCCCCCCCCAAAAAAAAGCAGGAAAGAAGAGAAGGAACAAAGACCAGATGGACAAACAAAAAGCAATAGCAGGCTGGTGGATTAAACCCAGCCAGCTCAATAATTACATCATAAACCATGGGAAGGGCACCGCAACCAAGAGACGGGCTGAGAGGCTGGGTGAGAAGCAATACCCACTGCATGCTGGGCTCAAGCAGTCCACGTGACACTAAAGACAAGAGAGGTACAGAGCGCCCTGGCCAGTTTGGCTCAGCGGTTAGAGTGTCAGCCTGCGGTCCAGAGAGACCTGGGTTTGGTTTCTGCTAAGGGCATGTGCCTTGGTTGTAGTCTGTCCCCGGCCCTGGTTGGTCATGCGGGTGGCAACCACTCGATGTGTCCCTTTCACTTAGATGTTTCTGTCTCTCTCTTCCTCTCTCTCCCTCCCACTCTATCTGAACAAAAAATGTAAAATGCCCTCGGGTGAGGATAAAAAAAAGAGAGAGAGAGAGAGGTACAAAGTAAAGGATAAAAATGGGTAAAAAAAAAAAAAAAAAAAAAAAAAAGCCGTGATACATTTACATAGTGGAATACTACACAGCTGTTAAAAAAAAGAAGCAGGAACTCTTACCCTTTGTGATAGCATGGAAGGACCTGGAGATTATTACGTAAATGAAAAATGCTAGTCAGAGAAAGTCAAATACCATATGATCTCACTTACATGTGGTATCGAATAAACTGACGAAAAACAAAGCAGGACCCTAGGAATGGAAGCATGGAACAGACTGACAGATTTCAGAGGGGTGGGGGGGACTGGAAGAGATTAGCCAAAGAGCATGCATATTTGCATAGCCCACGGACGCAGATAACAGTGTGGTGAAGGCTGGGAGTTGGGTGGGCAGGGCTGGCTGCAGGGGGCCAGAAGCTGAGACATGGGAGACATCTGTAATAGTGTCAACAACAACAACAAAAGATAGACCATGCTAACACTAAGCAAGCACAAGGGGTATGATATGTTTTCCATTTTTATGACATTATCGGAAAACAAGACAGAGTGACAGAAAGCAGGTCTGTGGTTGTTGGGCCCAGAGGGAAGGGGCCGGCACGGACTCTGAATGGCACGAGGGACCGAAGTCGGAAGTGATGCCCTGTGCCTTGATCGTGATGGTCACTGCAGGACTGGGCACCTTTGTCAAACCTCAGCAAGTACACCCAGCGCTGGTGGGTTTCACTATGTGTAATTTAGAACTCAAGAAGGGTAGCGAAAGGAACACAGAAGGAAAGAGAGAGAAAGGCATAAAGAGAAGGAAAGAAACGGGAACAGGGAAGGAAAAAAAAGTAAAGCATTTGTTTTCAAAAAGGACAGTCGTGCCCTGGCCGGTGTGGCTCAGAGGTTAGAGTGTCAGCCTGCAGACCGAAGCGTCATGGGTTTGATTCCTGGTCAAGGGCATGTACCTGGGTTGCAGGTTTGATCCCCAGCCCTGGTTGGGGTCCTGCAGGAGGCAATGAATTGATGTGTGTCTCTCTCTCTCTCTTTCTCTCCCCTCCCCCCTTCCCACTCTCTCTAAGAATCAATGCAAAAGTATCATTGGGTGAGGATTAAAAAACAAGTAAGTCCCTCCAGTAAGAGTAGTTTCCGCTGGCCCTTTACCCCAGCAGGTAAAATACTTTAGGGTTGTTTTTATCCTACTGTCTGCCCACATCCACACTCTGATGGGGTCGCCTTCCACCTCGGGGAATTTCTCGAACCCTTGCACCAAAGATAACTGCATCCCACAGAGGAAGTTTGGCCCCGCTGACGGCAGTGAAGCTTCCGCCCAGACGCGTGAGGGATGCTCACGCAGGGGAAGCGGCCCGCCCCGCTTGGCGGTCTGTGAGGCTGCCCACACTTGCTCCATCTCCAGCCACATCTTCCTCTGCTGCTGAAGCCCCACCCAGCCCTCTGCGGCTCTTTTACCCTGCAGAATCTCAGTTCCCTCTCTTCCAAAAGGGAGACCAGCTCCTACATGCTCCCCCTCTGCCAGCAGCAGAGGAACATGCGTGCGCATCACAGTGTCAATGGTGGGTGTCTGGGTACACAAAGGGCCGAAGCGAGACATGGACACTTCAGAGGGTAGACACATTTCATACCCTAAGGACAACTACACTGCATGCGGAGCTAGACTCTGAGGCTCTGGGGGAGGAGCTGACGCAGTCAGATGGTGGGTTGCGATACGTGATCCAACAGGGCTGAGGGTGGAAATATTGAAAAACGTACTGATGAAAACAAAACAATACGTAGACAGCTCTGAGTACAGTTACATCCATGTTCACAGGCGGTCAATATAAGACGTCAAGCCCCACAGAGAAAATATAACCCATTCCCACATTCTGAGATGATGCACTGACCCAAGGTGATTCAATGCTCTGATTACATTTAAATGGTTGTTATTTGGAGACCGTGGAAGATTAACTTACTGGACCTTAAGTAATGTACTAGTGACACGTCTTACTCACTTCAGATTGCTATGCACTCAACGCCTGTATAATTACTCAGACATAGAAGTGGAGTCGACGTGAGTCTTTCTGAAGGATGGAGGTTCACTGCAGACGGCGTGGATATCTCTGTGGTGGTTTCATGTTCCCCCCGATCTGAGTGAGCCTCACACACTGCCCAGGTGTGTTCACGCCTTGTATTTCCCAGGTGCCTCGTACCCTGACCACACGTTCCCCATGGAGAAGATGGACGACACTGTGGCCCCAGGCCACGAGTACACCTACGAGTGGACTGTGGGCGAGGACAGCGGGCCCACACAGGACGACCCGCCGTGCCTCACACACTTGTACTACTCCTATGACGATCTGGTGCAGGACTTCAACTCGGGGCTGATTGGACCTCTGCTCATTTGTAAGAAAGGTAAGAAAAACAAGTCAGCAAGAGCGCAGGTGTGGGAGTGGCAGGGCACTGTGATGGGACCAGCTGGGAGAATCCTGACTGCTTTGTAAGTCACGCAGAAGGAGGGGGTGCGGCAACCTGACCGCTGCTGGACACTGGTCTGGGGGGGTTGGACCCTCCTCTGTTTCTCCCACACTCCTCTCCCTGTCCGAGAGTTTGTTCGGAGGCCTCGTCCTGGTGATCTGTAACCCGTACCCGAGGCCAAGTCCTTCTGGAAGTGAACAGCAGCCTACCCTCTGCTGAGAGCGCTGGGCAAGAACTTGGCCTAACGTGTCCGAGGTTTGGGTTGGTCACTTGGGCTACACACACACAAAACGCTGGCTCCCTTCCTTATGAAGGAGCTGAACACGGGCGGCTTGTCTCACACACACTCGCTCGGCGTACATGGGAGCGTTCACTGGCTGAGCTCCTGAGGAGCACGCGTGGATTTCCACCTTCCCCGGAAAGAGCCTGCTCGGCTTTCACTGAAGCCGACCACCGCCCACCTGCACTGCGCTGTGGGAGGACCGGACGGGCTCCGCCCACCTGCACTGCGCTGTGGGAGGAACAGCTGGGCTCCACCCACCTGCACGGGCATCCACTGCGCTGTGGGAGGACCGGACGGGCTCCGCCCACCTGCACTGCGCTGTGGGAGGAACAGACGGGCTCCGCCCACCTGCACTGCGCTGTGGGAGGAACGGACGGGCTCCGCCCACCTGCACTGCGCTGTGGGAGGACCGGACGGGCTCCGCCCACCTGCACTGCGCTGTGGGAGGAACAGCTGGGCTCCACCCACCTGCACGGGCACCCACTGCGCTGTGGGAGGAACGGACGGGCTCCGCCCACCTGCACTGCGCTGTGGGGAGGAACAGCTGGGCTCCACCCACCTGCACGGGCACCCACTGCGCTGTGGGAGGAACAGCTGGGCTCTCCCACCTGCACGGGCACCCACTGCGCTGTGGGAGGAACGGACGGGCTCCGCCCACCTGCACGGGCACCCACTGCGCTGTGGGAGGAACGGACGGGCTCCGCCCACCTGCACGGGCACCACTGCGCTGTGGGAGGAACGGACGGGCTCCGCCCACCTGCACGGGCACCCACTGCGCTGTGGGAGGAACGGACGGGCTCCGCCCACCTGCACGGGCACCCACTGCGCTGTGGGAGGAACGGACGGGCTCCGCCCACCTGCACGGGCACCCACACCAGCCCTGCTGCTCACCACACACACGTGTCCGTAGCCTGGTATGCAGAGGATACTGGGATGGCACTAAAAACACGAGAACTCATGAAAAGCCCATCTTCCCTGTTACTTTCAGCTGCACTTTTTTCCTTGCATGAGGTTGGGTTCACCTGGACCAGTTCTCTAGTGAGTGAGCCGTCGCGCGTGCCTGCAAGACGGCTGCATCCGCCGTGGAGAGGCTGCGCACCTGTGTGCCGGCCCACTGACCCTGGAGGGGGCCTCGGCAGCCACCAAAGGTGTCCTCTGAGCCAGGCCAAACGTACCTTTAGAGCTCGGCCCTCGGCTGTGAAGCTCCCGGGACGCCCGGGCAGCAGCGGGGTTGCAGGAAGCCCCGTCGTCATGACTTGGCGGAGATGCGGTTTCACTAGAACTTCTTCAAGGTGACACCACTCTGGTGGCTGCCTGTCTCGGACTCTGCCGTCGAGGAGCAGCCGAGAGTTTCCATCTGCGGCGCTCCTGACGAGCATGTCTTCCCCCCCACAGGCACCCTCACGGAGGATGGGGTTCAGAAGATGTTTGACAGGCAGCAGGTGCTGATGTTCGCTGTGTTTGACGAGAGCAAGAGCTGGAGCCGGTCACCAGCCGTCATGCTCACGGTCAACGGCTACGTGAACGGGACGATGCCAGGTAACGCGGCCGGCGTGTCCCGGCGGCAGGGGGTCGCCGGTGCCTTCAGTCCCCCTGTTTCCCTCCAGGTCTCGGGAAGCCGACCACCCTCACTGTTCCTCAGTCTCAATCGGAAAGGTAGTGCCGTCCAGCTCAGTGGTTCTCGAGATGTTACCTTTTTGTTGCTGTTAATCCTCACCTGAGGAGTTTTCCACTGATTTTTTAGGTAGAGGGGGAGAGAGGAAGAGGGGGAGAGAGAAAGAGAGAAACATCGATGCGAGAGAGAGACACGTGGACTGGTTGCCTCCTGCCTGACCCTGATGGGCGCCGGGGATTGAACCCACAACTGAGCATCTTTTTTTTTTTTAACCAGCACATACAACAGACAGCCTGGAAGCTATCTGAGTGAAGGAGTGTGCAGCCTCGTTAGACAGAGTGCTCCGGGCACGGTTCACCTTGGCCTGCCCCTCCAGGGAGGCCTCCAGGATATCAGCTCAGTCTCCGTCTGTGGGTTCTGTGGTCCCCGCTGCGTGCTGACCATGCCCTCCTCCACACAGGACATCTCGCAGGACCGAAGTTCAAGGTCCATCCCTAGCAGAAAGGGTCAGCAGGGAGAAGTCAATGAAGACACAGTAAAGATGAGCAGGAGATTAGGAGAAATACCCAGCACACAAAAATACCAGCAGCATTTCAGACGGCGATAGATGAGTAATATTCTAAGGCATTTACCATGTTTCCTCTTTCCATCCGCCTGTGGACTCTTGTGAAAAAGCAAATCACGGCGACTGTTAAGAGAAAAAAATGAACAAACGGAGTCCCACCTAACCCTCTCCATCTGATAGAAATGCCTCAGGACCAGAGATCCTGAGGGAAAAAGTGGGAAACTGAAAAAATTTCTTTATTACATAAGCCATTCGAAACATTAAGTTTCTCAGGGGTGATTCTCTATATCTGAAAAGTCACAAACGGCTTCACTTACTACAAACAAAACTTACCAAGCGTTGAGGTCTGGACATTGCTTGTCAGTTGGTTTCCATCTCATCTGACCGTGTCTTCCCACCTGGGTTATTCCAAACGCACCCCGATGGCTCTGGGCTAGGATCGGAGTCCCCCAGCTTAACGGAGGTCTAACTTGGGAGAGCTGAGTTCAAGCCTAGCTCATTTCTTTGCCTGAGTGTGGTCCTTAGCGTGGTCCTTGGCAGGTAGCTGTCTCGATGTGCTGACTTACAAAATGGACTAACCCTCTATCCCGGGACAGAGGGTGGTTAAGAATTGTTTTATTTATTTTAAAATATTCTTTCTTTATTTATTTAGACAGAGAGAGGAAGGGAGAAGGAGAGAGAAACATCAATGAGAGAGAACATCGATGAGCCGCCTCCTGCACGCCCCCCCACTGGGGATCGGGCCCACAACCTGGGCATGTGCCCTGACCAGGAATCAAACCTGCGACTTCTTGGTGCAGGGGCCGACGCTCAACCACTGAGCCACACCGGCCGGGCAGGAATTGTTTTTGTATAAAGTACTGTGGACCTGAGAGGGGCGTGGGAAAGAGAAACTGTATTCTGTCCTGATGAGTGAGTCATCTGTGTTAATCTATACAAGTCCCCACAAGCACACCATATGCACGAACATAAAGATTAATAACTTGAGCAGAACAGAGAGCATATGGATTTTCAGCTGACAAAGACAGTCGGGGGCTCAGAGGGGCGGGGAAGGGGAGTGGCGGTCAGTGCCCAGAGAAGTCGGTGCGGTGGGATGGCCTCACGGAGCAGCAGACCACATGTGCGTGCTAGATGCTAACACGGGCGTAGCAAACACGCAAGTCAACGTGAGCACTTCTCCGGGGTGGCCGAATGCTCCCACCAAAGCCTCCTCCAACCTTTCAGCTTCTCCTTCTGAGGATCTGGCTGCGTTCTCACCATCATACTGGGAATCCCTGTCTTGTTATAGGGGTCCCCTAAAAATGACAAGCCCCTCAGCCCCTCTGTGGGTTAGGAGAGATAGACTGATTCTTAGCCCCATGCTCTGCTATCTAGTGACCATGGATCTGACATTTAAAAGCCCGGCCAAGGACAGAAGCCAGGGTTGGAATCTCCCACACAGCCAGTGAGCATTTTCCCAGTCGCAGTGGGAGCAAAAAAGGAGCGGAACTCAGCGTTCGTGCCCAGTTCTCAGTGCTCCATCTGTGACGTGCTCCCAGTGGCCCAGGGTACCGAGGACTTGTCCACTGCGTTTTAGGGAGAGTGCAGAGTAATCCATTGCCTTGTCACCACAGCAACCAACAAGTGGGTACAGAAGCAACATGCGATCTTGACATCGTCGCCATGTCTCCTTCCCCTTAAGCAGGGATTGGCCCCTCCCTATCCCGCCCAGGGGATGGGGCTCTGGCACTGGGCCCTACTGGAGGCTCTGGTGACTCCCTCCGGCTGAGCCCAGACTGGTTCTGGAGTAGCCAGCTGCCTGGGCTTGCCCAGGACGGTCCCAGTTCTGACACTGAAAGTCCTGCATCTGAGAATCCCCTCAGTCCCTGGTAAACCAGGATGGTTGGTCCCCTGCTCGGCTCGCCCCTGGGCCTCACCCCTCAGCCATCCCTGTTTCTGAACGAACGCCCCCACCTCTAGGCTCTGTTCTCGCCTCTGCGGTATCGCTTGCTGCAGTGAGTCACGGCGGCTGGCTGGCCCGTCACTCCGATGTCTGCTCCCCTGGGCAGGGACCGCGGCTGCAGAGCCTGCTCTGGGCAGCGGCAGCAGGTGCTCCGCTCGCGCTGGGGGAGTGAGATCTGCGTGGCCCCGTGCTGACCGCCGGTGTGCCCACTTCTCTCCCCGCTCCCAGATATAACCGTCTGTGCGCATGAGCAGATCAGCTGGCATCTGATTGCAATGAGCTCTGGGCCGGAACTGTTCTCCATCCATTTCAACGGCCAAGTCCTGGAGCAGAACCGCCACAAGATCTCAGCCGTGACCCTCGTCAGCGCCACGTCCGCCACTGCAAACATGACCGTGGGCCCGGAGGGAAGGTGGATCGTCTCCTCGCTCATCCCAAGGCATTTGCAAGGCAAGAGACTCTCCAGCGGTCTTGCTTAGGAGTGCAGGGTCCTTCCCTCCCAGGCGCGAACCCCCTCCTTACCCTGTGCCTTTCTGAGTCACCCGCGCTCCGGACATATCCGCGTTGGTCCCTGAGAGCAGAAATGACCTCCTCCACGCTGCGACTGATAACCTTAGTTAGAGGTGGGGCAAGTGGAGGGACTGACAAAGATTTTTTTAAATGAAGCAAACGTTGAAGAGGTCTCTGCTTCCTGGAAAGGACAAAGGAGGAAGCGAACACAGGGGTACATGGAGATCTTCTCTCTCGTGCTAGTACATATGTAGCTGAAGGAAAAGATCTGGGTGACAGAACAAGAGATACGTGGGTGAATTTATAGAGGCACCAAGTTACAGAAAGTGTACAAGTTGTAACATGAAAAGATTCTGTTTTAGAACAAGATGAGCACGAAGAGGAACCCAGGGGATATTATGTTGAGTGGGTCCAACATATAATCAGCTCAGGTTGTTATGTGAAACCACATGAACAAGGTAACTCGTTGTTCTATTACACACTGTTGCTTTAAAACTACTGGGAAGAGGGTCCCGGTGAACAGAGACTCAAATATAAGTCCATGGTGTTAGTATAGGAAATCATTTTGTGAACAGAACAATGTGTAGAAGCAAAACACATAAGAAACAGAGACTTACTGGGACCATTTGACTTTTTTCTTTTTTGCACCGAGCAGTCAAAATTATATTTGAACTAATGAAATTGTCACACTGTCTCTGGCAGACAGGGTCCCAAGTACTAATAAAACAAAGCAACAAAACGAACACTGTTGAGGTTAAGTGCTTTTTGTATTCATTTATTTCATTTTTAACAACAATTTCACCCAGGGTGTACTGGCAATCTTTTGATTTTACAAATAAAGGGACAGATGACAGGACAAATGAGGAGTCAACGAGACCTAAGTCGTAAGGCTCCCCCGGGCTGGAGATTACAGACGTCTCTGCTCTGGAAGAAGCAGGGGGGACCCTTCCTCTGTCCCGCCCACCCTCACCCCCTTGGCTTTACTCCGCCCCTTCCCCACCGCTGGGAAAGCGCTCTAAGCCAAAGTGTCCAATGTTGCCGGAGTATTGCAGCGCTGTTATTACTTAGACCTCCACAGCGCAAAGAGACGCACATTTGGGTCAGCCTTAATGTCTGCTCTCGAATTCTCTCCCCGTCTCTGTGCATCGCCTCAGCTGGAATGTGGGCGCACGTCAACATCGAAGACTGCGCCAAGAAGATGCGGAAATTCAAGCCGACGCACGAGCAGAGGCGCCACATGAAGCGGTGGGAGTACTTCATCGCTGCAGAGGAGGTCATCTGGGACTACGCACCTTTCATCCCATCGAACATGGACAAGTGAGTCTGGGGTGGCCACTGTGCGTAGGGCCAAGGGAGGCGCCGTCGGGCCCTCGGTGCGTGGGTGACATGCCACCTGTGACCGCTCTCGAGGGGGTACGTGCTTTGGCTTCCATTCAGGTCGTGTTCAAAATCAATCTGGAATTACCCCAAACTCACCAAGCAAAATAATAATAATAATAATAATAATAATAATAGCAGCAGCAGCTGCGACTTGTCGAATGTTTGCTATTGCCAAGCACTGTGTTAAATTCTTTCTAACTCTAGAAGTGAGACACAGTTCTTATTTATTATGTAGATTAGGAAGTCGGAAAGAGATACTATGAAATCTGGAAGTTCAAATAGCCCTGAAACATCTGAAAAATATCCAAGCCCACTCACAGTAAGAGAAATGTAAATGAAACTTCCCTGAAATACGATGTTTCACCGATCAGACTCGCAGTCCAGGTGACATCACCTTTTGGCAAGGCTGTGAGACCCAAGCCCTGTCCCATTGCCAGGGGAAGAGTATAACCTGAAGGAGCCGTTCCAGGGGGAATTTGCATCATGTGTCAAAATTATAAATGCCTGTACCCTTGGACCTGGCAACCTTACCCTGGGAGTTCACCACAGAGGCACACCGTCCACAGGTGAAGTGATGTACATGCAGGATGGTCCCTGCTACACTGTTAGCAGTAGTAAGAGACGGAAAACAACCCAAAATTCCCATCAACAGGAAATTGGTTTAATACATTGTGGTATTTCCATACATGCAATACTGTGCATCTGTTTAAAAAGGATGCTTGTGGTATTTCCATACATGCAATACTGTGCATCTGTTTAAAAGGATGTTTGTGGTATTTCCATACATGCAATACTGTGCATCTGTTTAAAAGGATGCAAACACAGAAAGCCAAGACCAAGGAGGGCTGTTTGGAGAAGGCAAGTCTGTGCTCAGGTGGTAGGTTTGCTGACTGTGGTCCAGCTTACAAGTCTAGAAACAGCCTCATCACCTATGGACCCAGCTACAGCCCCACTTGGCCTTGGTCTTGCTACAGTACATTTTGATAAGGAGTCATACCTGACCATGACCCTGGAGGCTGTCCCTGACCCTGGTGGCTGTCCCTGACCCTGGAGGCTGTCCATGACCCTGGACTGGCGGCTGTCCATGACCCTGGAGGCTGTCCCTGACCCTGGAGGCTGTCCCTGACCCTGGAGGCTGTCCATGACCCTGGAGGCTGTCCATGACCCTGGACTGGAGGCTGTCCCTGACTCTGGAGGCTGTCCATGACCCTGGAGGCTGTCCCTGACTCTGGAGGCTGTCCATGACCCTGGAGGCTGTCCCTGACCCTGGAGGCTGTCCATGACCCTGGAGGCTGTCCCTGACTCTGGAGGCTGTCCATGACCCTGGAGGCTGTCCATGACCCTGGCGGCTGTCCATAGCCCTGGAGGCTGTCCATGACCCTGGCGGCTGTCCATAGCCCTGGAGGCTGGCCTGCAGATATTGATCCCACTGTGGATCTTCAAGTGGCCCTATAACTAGCTCCAACCCTCTCAACTGCAGTCCAGGAGAAGTCCTGCCCACCCAGGGACTGTCCAGTGACGTGATGGAAGCCCTCCTGAGGAACAGATGGGAGCCATATCCGTCTATACACCTGGTAACAGGCCCACCATTTGCAAACTCAACGTAGGACCTTAGAGTGGACCATTACTCCAGCACCAGCTCTACTACCCGAGGCCCTGGAGGCTGTCCCATCTCCAGGGGCCAGACAGGACCCATGTCCCCCTGAGCCCTAGGTAAAGGCTTACCCACCAGCAGCCATGTGACCTGATTCCAACCTCACTCGACGGTGATCCCCAAAATGATCCCATCAATCCAGAGACCTGTCAGGAGGTCTTTACCTGCCAAAGTCAGTCTGTAAAGGGTGGAAGAGGGTGTTTGCGTCTCCATATGCACAGACACCAATACGAGGCGACACAAACCACAAAGAATCAGGCAAATAGGACACCACCAAAGGAAACTAATAAGGCTCCAGTAATCAACATCAAAGAATTGGAGATCTACAAATTGCCTGACAAATAATTTAAAATAACCATCTTAAAGAAGCTCAGTGCAGTCCTGGACAGTTTGGCTCAGCAGTGTGTCAGTCCACGGTCCAGAGAGATCCAGGTTCGGTTTCCGCTAAGGGCATCTACTTTGGTTGCAGTTTTTCCCCGGCCCCAGTTAGGGTCATGTAGGTGACAGCCAGTTGATGTGTGTCTATCAAATCAATGTTTCTCTCTCTCTCTTCCTCCCTCTCTCCCTCTTGGTCTGTCTAAAGATGAATGCAAAAGTGTCCTCAGATGAGGGTAAAAAAAAGAAGCAGCAGCTCAGTGCATTGCAAGAGAATACAGATAGGCAACTAAACAAAATCAGGAAAACAATGCATGAACAAAATGAGAAGTTTAATAAACAAACAGAAACTGTAAGAATAATCAAACAGCCCTGGCCGGTTTGGCTCAGCGGTTATAGCATCGGCCTGCGGTCCAGAGAGACCCGGGTTCGGTTCCCGCTAAGGGCACGTACCTCGGTTGCAGTTTGTCCCCGGCCCTGGTCGGTCGTGCGGGTGGCAGCCACTCGATGTGTCCCTTTCACGTCGATGTTTCTCTCTCTCTCTCTGTTCCTCTCTCTCCCTCCCACTCTACCTGAACAAAAAATGGAAAAATGTCCTCGGCTGAGGATAAAAAAAAAAAGAATAATCAAACAAATCCTGGAGTTGAAGAATACAATAACAAGACTGAAAAACATCAATAAAGGGCTGAGTTTAATACCAGACTCGATCATGCAGAAGAAAGATTCAGCAAACTCAGAGACAGGTAATGTGAACTTATCCAGTTATAGCAACAAGGAGAAAAATGAATGGAAAAGAATGAAGAAAGCTTCCAGGAACTATGGAATACCATCAAAAGAACTAATATGTGCATGATTTAGAGTCTGAAGGAAAAGGAGAAAAAAGGGCAGAAAGCTTCTTTAAAAATAATGGCTGCAAACTTCCCAAATCTTGGGAGAGATATGGGTGTACAGATTCCTGACGCTCAAACAAGCTACCCAAAACAAGATCAACTCAAAGAAGATTACCTGAAGACACATTATAATCAAATTGTCAAAAGCCAAAGATAGAGACAGACTTCTGAAAGTAACAAGAGAGAAGCAATGTGTCATAGATAAAGGAACCCCCAAGGCTATTAGCAGATTTCTTATAAGAAACCTTGTAGGCTAGAAGAGTGTGAGATGATATATATTCAAGGTGCTGAAAGAAAAAATCAAACTGCCAACCCCAAATCGGACACTATACTCAGCAAAGCTGTCCTTAAGAAGTGGAGCGATAGAGACATTCCCCCTACTTAAGAAAATGGTTAATTTTTTTTTTTTTTTAATGTTTCATTTCACTTTAAGAAAATACAGATCACTGCATTTGGATAATTTCTCCAACCAAATTGGAAAACATTATAAGAAGGTTGTCTACAGACAGTACCACGATAAGTCCTTCACCAAACGCCTGGAGGACACCAACAAAGATGGGATCCTGGGCCCTATTATCAGAGCCCAGGTCAGAGACACACTCAAAGTAAGTAACAGAAATGTATGAACATGTGAAAGAAATTAAATAGTAAAAGACCTTAGAAGTACTTGTTTCTTGTATCATTTTTTAAGGTGTCCATATAGTTTTTAATTCAAATGCAACTTTTGGTTTTTATTTAGCATTTGCACGTATTTATAGCCTACCTCATAATACAAATAATCTGAGACAGTGTATCAAATTATAGACGAATAAAATAAAGAGTCAATGTAATTGGGGCGAAAAGAAAACCAAAGATAAGTATAATGAAGCACTGACCGTATCATCTTATAAGGCTGTTTGCAAATTTTGTCCTGAGCTGTCCAGCAGCCAAGGTAAAAAGGGAAACATGTCAGGGCAAGATTCACGGAAGTCGTAAGAGAAGCACAAAATGTGCAAAGTTAACATCCTGTGTTAATTCTCGTGATCAACCTGAAATCCTGAGTAATGAATGTGAGTTAACTTTGCAGATCGTGTTCAAAAATATGGCCAGCAGAGTCTACAGCATTTACCCTCACGGAGTGACCTTCTCTCCTTTGGAAGATAAAGCCAACTCCTCCTCTGGCTCAGGTTTGAATCTTTCACCTTCTACTGAATGAAACTACTACCTCTGACAGGCTGCCGTATTTCTCTACAGTCCCCGTGCTCAGTGGTATAACGTGTGCAGTCAGGTAGTATGTACACATGGGCGGGTATCCTAAAGTCACAGGGAAACCCTGCCCACCTCAGAGGTTCTGTTTACCCTGCTGGTTACAAAATGCAGTGTCCTTTCTTACCGCCCCAGTGGCCTCTAGGAGAGCAAGATCTGATGACTCCATGCTATCCCGGGTTCTATTAAGTGGATCTTAATATAAAAAGAATATTCCTTTCCCAAGGAGAGCTCGATAATATTATTCACTCACTCATCCATTCATTCGTTTATGTGTGGATGAAATAATTTTGAACACGAAAGCAGTTTTGACGATGTTTTCTTTCAGGTGGGAACACCATGATCAGAGCAGTTCAACCAGGGGAAACGTACACTTACAAATGGAATATCCTAGAATCGGATGAGCCTACGGAAAAGGATGCCCAGTGTTTAACAAGACCATACTACAGTGATGTGGACATCACAAGGGACATCGCCTCTGGGCTGATAGGGCTCCTTCTGATTTGTAAGAGCAGATCCCTGGACAAGCGAGGCATACAGGTATTTTGTCTTTGATGTCACCTTTCAGAAATTCCAGGAGTCTCTACTGGCTGGAACGGACCAGGTCTCCTTGCTAAATCATGGAGCTTGTCTGGAGAACGGGAAGGATTCAGTAGTTGTCTTGAGTGTGATGACATCTGCTCCTTTGGTAACTTTTCTGTCTTGTCCGTTTTCATCTGGACTCGCTGCAGAAGGCAAGTCTCTGGTGTGAAACCGTGTTTTGTTCCAGTTTCAAATCCCAGGTCTGTTGCTATTGTCTGTGTGCTGAGCAAGCCACTTAGCCTGTCTTAACTTCTTCCTGGTGGGAAATGGGTGACACCCACCCTAAAAATTACACAGGGCTGTTTTGGGCTCAGTGAGATAGCACCTGGTGAAGGTATAGAGCCCTGTGCCAGTCCTTGTGGTTTTTAGAGATAAGAGATACACTGGAGAGACAGCTCCTGGTGAGACTGGACCTCGACCACGGTCCATCCCTTGTAAGACTAAATGATACGAAGGTATGGCCCCTCTGACTTGACCTTCACTGTGGAAGAGTCTCATATTAGTCACTTAAAACTCACAGACAATTAAGCTAAACTGTAATTTTTTTTTTTTATCCTCACCTGAGGACATTCTTCCATTTTTTTGTTCAGATAGAGTGGGAGGGAGAGAGAGGAAGAGAGAGAGAGGAAAAGAGAGAGAGAGGAGAGAGAAACTTCGACGTGAAAGGGACACATCGAGTGGCTGCCACCCGCATGACCAACTGGGGCCGGGGACAAACTGCAAACGAGGTACGTGCCCTTAGCGGGAACCGAACCCAGGTCTCTCTGAACTGCAGGCTGATGCTCTAACCACTGAGCCAAACCGGCCAGGGCTGTAATTTTTTTAAAAAAAATCTCAACCCAAGGCATACAAAATAAATCTATGCCTAGGAAAATCAGAAATGAACCTCTGAAGACCCTAGTTTATTGAGCTTGGAAAGGAAACAGGTAGGAGAGCTGTAAAGCTTGCCCCTTGCAACCTCCTGTTTCATCCTTTGCAATGTTAGCAGCACAGCGAGTCAGCGCGTCACTCGGGCTGAGAGGTGTTCAGCCACAGAGGTAAACGGAATGAGAGTTGCCACAACACATGGAAATGTTCTGTTCGGATGTTTTAGTCTCTGAATTTTCTGCCCTGCTCAGTCTGCTTTTGCACAACACCCTTGGCTCTAATGAGGGCTTCTGTACACAACGGGCTCCCCCAAGTGCCTCAGTGCGTGGCGTCAGCTGCCCCGGGGACTGAAGTTGAAGGTCACTGGCGGGACCGTCCGAACACAGCGCGTTCTCCCTGCAGAGGGTGGCGGACATTGAGCAGCAGGTCGTGTACGCTGTGTTTGATGAGAACAAGAGCTGGTACATTGAGGACAACATCAACAAGTTCTGTGAGGACCCCGAGAAGGTGGACCGGGATGACCCCAAGTTTTATGAGTCGAACATCATGAGCAGTAAGTGGGAGCACCATCTTTGTCCATCAGCCTCTGGCTGCTGTGGCTGAAGCATGGGTGTGCCCAGAGGTGGGCACGGATTAGAACCCACCCACGTCTCAGCCTCTCCTTCATCCAGGGATTCGGTGATGAGATTATGTCAAGGGCGACATGATGGCACCATGACCCCTTTTTGCAGCAAGGGGTCAAAGCTTGTTATCCTTACACGTCTGCTTGGTCTCCTGCTCCAAGAGAGTGTGTGTGTGTGTGCGCGCGCGCGCGCGCGTGTGCAGGCACCTGTGTGCATGCTCTGGGCAGGGAGGAACGGGAGGGGCAGGGGTGGCGGAGGAAGGGGCTATAGCCTTTGGTCAGTGGTGTCTGGGGTGGAAAAATAGACTGGGTGCAAGGCAAATACCCTGTGCCAGGGCAAAAACAAGGTCAGTAATCCAACACTGGGTTTTCAAATCACGCGAAGGTCAGGTGCACTGGAGACGCGCGCAGGCAAACGGGAGAGGCGCGTGTGCGCAGTGAGGCCGGCGCCGGCTGCGGCTCTGAGCTCCGTGTCGGAGCCGCTGCTGTGGGGAATCCGAGCTGGGTCTTCTGGGCGCCTGTTGGACCTGGTACAGCTTGTCTCAGAGCAGCACAGCTCCGATGTCGGCACGTCCACAGCGGGGCGCGCCCGCTCGCTGGCCGGGGCCTGGCCGTCTAACGGGTTTACTCTTCCAGCGATCAATGGCTACGTGCCCGAGAGTATGTCCACACTGGGGTTCTGCTTCGATGACACCGTCCAGTGGCACTTCTGCAGCCTGGGCACCCAGGATGACGTGCTCACCGTTCACTTCACCGGGCACTCCTTCATCTACGGGAAGAGGCACGAGGACACCCTGACCCTCTTCCCCATGCGTGGGGAGTCTGTGACCGTCACCATGGATAACGTTGGTGAGAGCCCGGGTGCGGGCAGGGCTCCTTGTTCCTGACGGGCTGCTGCACCCCTGCAGGCTCCCGGCGCCTGGGCTCCGCTCTCCGACCCCGCAGGCTTCCCTCTCAGTACTTGTCACGGTCCCTGTTTGGGGAATCAGTGACCTCACTGGGTCCAGTCCTTTAATGTGGGTCCAATCCATCCCTCTCGGCTAAGTGAGGAGTAAAGACACCCAGCCACAGAAAGATCAAGCACGACTTTGGGGAGGAAGCGTGATTATTCAGTCACAAAAGCCCATTTCTGTTTCTTTTTTTTTTTAATCCTCACCGGAGGATATTTTTCCATTTTTTGTACAGATAGAGTGGGAGGGAAAGAGAGGAAGGGGGAGAGAGAGAGAAACATCGACGTGAAGGGACACATCGAGTGGCTGCCACCCGCACGACCCAACCAGGGCCGGAGACAAACTGCAACCGAAGTACGTGCCCTTAGCGGGAACCGAACCCGGGTCTCTCCGGACCGCAGGCTGACGCTCTAACCGCTGAGCCAAACTGGCCAGGGCCCCTTTCTGTTTCTTAAGACAGCCGTCCCACGCTGGGGTCAGTGATCATCAGATACAGCGCCTTAGAGGCTGGCCTCAGACACACCACAGGGCCCTGGAAAGCACACAGGCTTTGGAGCTCATCAGGCCTGGGTTCAAATCCTGCCCTGCCACTCCTTACCTGTGTGAGCTTGGGCAGGTGACTCGACCTCACCGGGCCTGTTTATTCATAGGTAAAACAACCACCACAGAATAACAGCAGCTTACAGAGTTGCTCTGATCGTTGATTATAATATGTGCCAAGTGCCCGGCACTCTGTAGATGCTCAACAAGGGCTAACCATGGGAGACTTCCCGGGAACGCCTCAGTGTGCTAGTAAACCATACCATTGCAGAGAGACTCGAACTTGCCCTGGGCCTGCGTGAAATTACTGATCTTTTTGAAATACCTAAATGTCTCTTATTTCTGGGGACAGACATCTCCATTCTCCCCTAACTCCAATTCTCTCTCTCTCTCTTTCTTTAATCCTCGCCCGAGGACATTATTGCATTTATGTTTAGATAGAGTGGGAGGGAGGGAGAGAGGAAGAGAGAGAGAGAGAAACATCGATGTGAGAGAAACACATCGAGTGGTTGCCACCCACATGACCTCAACTGGAGCCAGGGACAAACTGCAACCGAGGGACATGCCCTTAGCGGGAACCAAACCCAGGACTCTCCGGTCCGCAGGCCAGCACTCTAACCGCTGAGCCAAACTGACCAGGGCCCAACTCCAATTCTCAAACAAGATGTACAGCTAACAAGGGGGATATGATTTTCAAGGTTTATTTTATTCTCAATTCATCCCTTTTAAAATATATTCTGAAATAGTGACTCTCACACCATCTGGGCTAAGTTTTCTCTCCTTACTCTCCACTGACCAATAATGTTGGTCTATAGCCTGTGAGACGAAGTCCATGTATTGATCACATGCCTGGGTGTCACAATGATGTCAACTTGCTCAAAAGTGTCCCAAGTAGTTGACTCTCAATTTTCCTCCTATGTCCTATGGAAGGGTAATCAATGGTCCACAGACCACACTTGAGTACCCCTGACTCAAGTTTGTTGGAAATTATCCGCCACAATGGATGCTAGGGCTTTTGTATCTCTTTCTGGGCTTAGAGCTCTCTATTCTGTCCATCTCTCTTCATTAGGAACTTGGATCTTAACTACCATGAATTCTAATCCAAGAAGCAAATACTTACGGCTGAAATTCAGGGATGTGAAGTGTAACTCAGAAGAAAATGACAACGAATACGAAATATATGAACCTCCAGCATCTAGCTCCGTGACGACACGGAAAATACGTCCTACAGACAACCCGAGTGAAGGTGACAGGCCTGACTATGATTACCAGGACAGATTGGCTTTGATGTTTGGAATTAGAGCATTTAGAAATTCATCCCTGGGTCAGGGGGAAAATGAGCTCAATTATACTGCCCTAGCCATGGAGAACAGCGCTGAATTCATTCCTCTGAGTGCTGATACAGCTGTCGGTTCAAGTTCTTCTTCCCCGAGTAACATTAGCAGGCTCCTTGCCAAGAACTTTTCAGAACCTCACAAAACCACCCTTCACCCTGAGACCACCGCAGCTGGTCCCCGTGTGGACCACAGCTTAGAAAAGAACTCTGTTCTCAACCTTTCCACGACAGAGCATTCCAGTCCTTATTCTGAAAACCCCATAGAGGACCCTCCACCGTCAAATGTCACAGGGATAGGCCGACTTCCTCTTGGTGCAGGATTCAGAGGTCAAGAACATGCTAAACATAAAGGATTTGGGTCAGGAAGAGACCACGTGGCAAGGCACAGGTTCTCCCCGATGGCATTTCTAGACCATAGAAGAGGGAGACATTCAAACCAAGGCAACGCTTCTCTTTCCGGAATGTGGCCCTCGAAGGACATCCCCAGTCATCTGTTACTCTTAAAACAAAAGAACCCATCTCACAGTTTGGATGGGAAATGGCACTGGGTTTATGAGAAGGGGAGCTATAGACTCATCCTGGGGGCTGGTAAAGACGCAGTGGTCAGTGAGCTGCTGAACAGCCCCCAGAATGCCTCCCGGACCTGGGGAGGAGGCAGCCCTCTTGCAAACCAGCATGGGACGCAAGGTGGCCGCCCCACGCCCTTCGGAGGTAGGCATACATTGCTACCAGTGAGACAGGGTGGAGGGAAGAGTGGATCAAAGAACAGCACTGTGCTCATTCGGACCCGAAGGAAGAAGTTTGCGCACAGGGCTCCCTTCTCCCCCAGGGGCTTCCACCCTCCGAGAAGAGAAGCCGGCGTCACCCTTCCAGACTTCCTGCGCCAGGCCGGTGCCACGCCCCTTCCCACAGACCTCAGTCGGACGTTCCCCTCTGTGAATCCGAGCCCCACAGCCTCGCTCTCCGACCATGACCCCCCAAACATCACTGCTCAGACGAGCTTCTCTCCAGACACTTATCAGACAGTGCCCCCAGAAGAGAGCTACCACACATTCCCTGTTCAAGACTCTGATCAAATACACTTCACCATAGAGCCCAGTCACGAATCGTCAGAGCCTGGCCAGGTGATCGACTATGATCTAGGACACCAGACCTCCCCTACTGACGCTGGACGAATATTCCCTTTCTTAGAACTTGAAGACTGGCAGATAACCCTCTCTCCAGACCTCAGCCAGGTGACCCTTCCTCCAGACCTCAGCCAGGGGACCCTCTCCCCAGACCTCAGCCAGGGGACCCTCTCTCCAGACCTCAGCCAGGGGACCCTCTCCCCAGACCTCAGCCAGGGGACTTTCTCTCCAGACCTCAGCCAGGGGACTGACTCTCTAGACCTCAGCCAGGGGACTCTCTCTCCAGACCTCAGCCAGGGGACTCTCTCTCCAGACCTCAGCCAGGGGACTCTCTCTCCAGACCTCAGCCAGGGGACTCTCTCTCCAGACCTCAGCCAGGGCACTCTCTCCCCAGACCTCAGCCAGGGGACTCTCTCTCCAGACCTCAGCCAGGGGACTCTCTCTCCAGACCTCAGCCAGGGCACTCTCTCCCCAGACCTCAGCCAGGGGACTCTCTCCCCAGACCTCAGCCAGGGAACTCTCTCTCCAGACCTCAGCCAGGGGACCCTCTCCCCAGACCTCAGCCAGGGGACCCTCTCCCCAGACCTCAGCCAGGGCACTCTCTCCCCAGACCTCAGCCAGGGGACTCTCTCTCCAGACCTCAGCCAGGGGACCCTCTCCCCAGACCTCAGCCAGGGGACCCTCTCCCCAGACCTCAGCCAGGGGACCCTCTCCCCAGACCTCAGCCAGGGGACCCTCTCCCCAGACCTCAGCCAGGGGACCCTCTCCCCAGACCTCAGCCAGGGGACCCTCTCCCCAGACCTCAGCCAGGGGACCCTGTCTCCAGACCTCAGCCGGGGGACTGACTCCCCAGACCTCAGCCGGGGGACTCTCTCTCCAGACCTCAGGCAGACAGCCCCTCCTCCTGAGCTCAGGCAGACCTCTCTTCCTCCTGAACTGGATCAAACGGCCTACACCTCTGAATCTAGTCCGTCACCGCCTCTTCCAGAATTTGGCCAGACCTTCCCATATTCAGACCTTGGTCAGATGCCATCTCCTCAACCGTCTCCTCCACTAAATAGCACTTTTATAACAGGGGAACTCAGTCCGTCAATTGTGCTTGGCTTCAGTGAAGATTATGGAGATTACGTTGAGATCATACCGAGGAAGAAGGAAGAGAGCAGCGAAGAGGACACTCGTGAGACCTACCACGTGGCCTACGATGACCCTTACCAAACCGATACTAGGGCAGACGTCAGCTCCTCCAGGAATCCCGACCACATCGCGGCGTCGTACCTCCGCAGCAGCACTGGGAACAGAAAGTATTATTACATCGCTGCCGAAGAGATATCCTGGGATTATTCACAACACGCACAAAGGTTTGGCCGGTTGTCTCCTCTCACCCTCTCCCACTGCTGCTGGGGAAGTGATTACAGCAGTCCAGGGAGATGATTCTGGGCCGACCAGCTCGGTTTACTTTAGTTCCCACACTGCACGGGCTCATACTGTGTGCCGGGCGACCCGCTAGGCAGTGGGGACAACATCACCAGCTAACTAGGAACAGTCCCTGACCTCATGCACTTTTCCTCTGGTGGCAGAGTCAGATCCGTAGTGATCCATAACCGACTACATATACTGTAGAGATACTGTAAGAACACTGGGATGCTGCTGTAAACACTACAGTGATGCTATAGAAATGTAGGCGTGCTATGGAGAGAGCGGACCTAGTCTAAAGGCTTGTGGGAGGACCTACCTAAGAAATGATACATGCGCTGCCCGCTCGTATATGGCCTTGTGCTTTTAGTCACTTACGTTTTTATTCATCCGTCCATCAGCTGTGTGTCGAACATCTTCTCTGTGCCGGGTGCTATATTCAGAAACAAAGATCATTCCCTAAATTCTCTGGATGGCCTTTCATTTGTTCTTGTAAACAAATACTGTCGTTACTGTTTCAGTAAGATGGGTAACGAGGACACGCATGAAGTCCCAGAGGACAGCGTTTACAAGAAGGCCGTTTTCCGGAAGTACCTCGACAGCACTTTCACCAAGCGGGACCCTCGCGGGGAGTATGAAGAGCATCTGGGCATTCTCGGCCCTGTTATCCGAGCTGAAGTGGACGATGTCATCCAGGTAAGTCGTCTTCCGGGCACCGCTCGGGCACCAGACGGATTCCCCCTGGCGCCGTCGGGTCGCAAAGGCGAAGGTAGCAGAAGAGAGCTGGAGGTGATTTACCCAGTTTCCGAAGTAAATAATGACATTTCTTCTCAAAGACGGCTTGCCCAGTACTCGGCAGTCCTCGGACACAGTGATCATCATCTTGCGATTTTATTTCTCCTTCTGCTAAGCTCCTGCTCGTTTTCCAAGGGCCAATTCCGTTCCCCCTAAGACACGTTCTTTAGTCCCCTCAGCCCTTCCTAAACGTTCAGCGGACCTGCTCCTCCCGGCACGTGCCCTTCACACTTGGGGCACGACCCCCTCTGTCCCCAGATTTGGGCGCGCACCTCTTTGCCAGCAGGCTGGAAGCTGGCGAGCAGGAACCAAAGGGCACTAGCTTTGGCTCTGCGGCCCCGCCGCTCACGGTATCTGCAGACGCCAACACGTTTGCTTTGCGCAGGGGAACGAGCGTGTTTCTGGGGAAAACGACGTGGGCCCTGTGTCCCGGGACACTTGTAAAACCTAGGTGAAATGATGCACGTGAGTCACGTGGCAACTGGATGCGTGAGAAGCTGAAGTACGTTGTGGATCATTATTGTCTTTCTCTAGGTTCGTTTTAAAAATTTGGCATCCAGACCCTACTCCCTTCACGCCCATGGGCTGGCCTATGAAAAGTCATCGGAGGGAAAGACCTACGAAGATGACTCTCCAGCATGGTTTCAGGAAGACAACGCCGTCCAGCCAAACGGCAGCTACACCTACGTGTGGCACGCCACCGGGCGGGCGGGGCCGGAGCACCCTGGCTCCGCCTGCCGGGCCTGGGCCTACTACTCAGCAGTGAGCCCGGTAGGCACGCGCACCGCGCCTGTTTGCCATTCCCTGACCTCTGGCCTGAGCCCACCAAATGAAGGGTGGAGGTCATTCCTCGCTGATGTCTGTCTCGCTATCCGTGAGGAAGGTGTAAGAATGGGACTGTCCCTGCAGGCCTCCGGGGAACAGTGAGAGCAGCATCTGCTCAGTGAGGAGCAGTGAGGGTTCCCGAAATGGTTGGCCGCAGGGAGACGGACTACCTGGTTTTAATCCTCACCCAGGGATATTTTTCCATTTATCTTCAGATAGAGGGAGAGGGGGCGAGAGAGAGAGAGAAACATCAATGTGAGAGGGACACATCGACTGGGTGCCTCCCGCACGACCCCGACCAGGGCCGGGGACGAACCACAACCGAGGTACGTGCCCTTGACCTGAATCAAACCCACGACTCCTCGGTCCGCGGGCCGATGCTCTAACCGCTGAGCCAAACTGACCAGGGTGGCAGTGACTGACGACCTTGATAGAGGACGTTTATCTGCAGTTTCCGTGAGTAAGTGTTAGCTTCCTTCTCCTCTTCCTCTGTGATACCGCAGTCAAGACTCCCCCTTCTCGGGCGCGGCGGAGAGAGTGCCGGCTCCGACTTCCGTTCCTGCCCTGTCGCTTACTGCATGGCCCTGGGAAAGGGTCATGACCTCTTGGCCTCCGTGTCCGGAGTTGAAAATGAGAGAGCAGTACCTAGCACATAGTAGGCACTTGGTGATATTTGTTTAATAAGTGAATTCTTTTTGCCATATAGGATTGTTGTCAGAGTTATATAAAAGGCCAAAGGCAAAATATTTAATATAGTAGTAAGTGCTCAACGAAGAGCATCTGTCACAGTATCGATATTATCATGATCACTATCATGGCTACCAAGTCAAGGTAAACTATCAATCAGAGGAAGGGACCACGAGGGCCGTAGGATTCGATGAATAACATCCAGCCTCACAAAGCGACTCGTGTATACTCTTCAGAGTCCGAGCCTCGGGGAAGGCTTTGTTCCTTGTGGCCGGTGACCACCAGAAGAGCAGAGAAACGCTGAGAAAGAATATGTGCCATCTGCCCCCACTGTCTTCCAGGAGAAGGACATCCACTCGGGCTTGGTCGGCCCCCTTCTCATCTGCCGGAGAGGAACCCTGCATAAGGACAGCAACATGCCCGTGGACATGAGGGAGCTGGTCTTGCTGTTCATGGTCTTTGATGAAAAGAAGAGCTGGTACTATGACAAGCCCCCAAGGCCGTGGAGACACGCATCCTCGGAAGCAGGACGCTCCCATGAGTTTCACGGTACTTTCCTCTGACTCTGACCTCACCTCTGGGCTGAGTCACACCGGGGCACAGTGGCACCTGCCCTTGGGTCTCCACAAGATTAGACAGGAGATGCTTCTGAGGAACCGCGAGCTACCACTGAAACTAGGTCCTTAGCCCGGCAGATGACAGGCCAGGTGAAGGGAATGTAAGAAGGACAGACACGGAGGCTGCTGCACCCTGAACCCAAACCACCAAGAAGCCATGTGCTGCAGCTAAACATAAACTGACCAGGAGTGAGCCTTAGTCTGCAGTTTAAGCACTCAATTAACCTGTTTCTCGCCCTTTCGAGGAAAATGGTTCCCACAGAAGTGACCACCTACATGTATGTTCTAAAATAAGAGTGACTGTAGTGACCAGGTCCGCAGTCAGCAGTTCCCAGGTGAACCAAATCACGAATAAAACCGCCAGCCAGACTGATCTCGACTCCTCTCCCTCCAACAATTCCCTGGCTCTTCCTGAAATTCCACAGCAGTTCCTTTAATTTTAGAAGAAAAAACAGTGAGCACAACGACAGACACTTCCCTCGCTGTAGCCCCAGTTAAATGCAGGGTAGCACTAAGCGTGACCATGAAAGTGTCCTATTAGTTTTTAAGGTGATCAAATTTACCTGGCACTTTAAACACAAGCATGCACACACGCACACGCACACGCACTTCACTGAGGGGAGAGTGGTAAGTCTCAGAACCCTAGACATCCAAGCAGGGAGGGGGCAGAGCAGCTGTGCTATAAATGAGACGGTGAATATGAATCATTGCGGCTGTGGGTGCAACAAAGAAGAAGTCCGGCCTCCTAACTTTGCCTGGATCTGTCTCTGAATGTAGGCGGCCTTGGGGTGACACGCTGCATACCCCTTACTTACTCTCGTTCCTCTCAGCACTGCAGTTCCCTTATCTAGCTCCTATCAGCCTTTATCCGTGAGCAGCAAAGCAAACCTCCAGCTACAAAGGGAAAGGATACTCGGTAAAGCACAGAGCGGGAGCAGTGGGGAGTCTGGGGAAGAGAAGGGTAAAGGGCCCGGAAAGGGGGCTCCCCACACTCTGCGGCAGGCCGGTGCGAGGAGCTGGTACCTCATGACATGTAGGGGGACCCTGGGTGGGCCTGGCATGCGGAGTCATAAGGAAGCTGGGTGGTGAGTGAGACCCTCCTAGGTTTGTACCAGCCTCTCGCCTGGTGTACACAGGTTTTTTTGTTTTTTGTTTTTAATTGCAATTCTCTGTCCTTTCAGCCATCAATGGGATGATCTACCACTTGCCTGGCCTGATAATGTACGAGCAAGAGTGGGTGCGGTTGCACCTGCTGAACCTGGGCGGCTCCAGAGACATGCACGTGGTCCACTTCCACGGCCAGACCCTGCTGGAGAATGGCACTCAACAGCACCAGCTAGGGGTCTGGCCCCTTCTGCCTGGTAAGCATCTGGGCCATGAAAAGAGGTCCCAGCTAAAAAAAAAAAAATGGCAAGAGAAGGCAATCCTAGCATCTCTAACTCACCCTCATTGCCTCCTTGGGCATTTACTCCTAAGGGGGGGTCAAGCATGGCATTGATCCTGGGCAAAGCCAGACCCTAGGGCTGCATACAGAGTATGAGGAAGCCAGCTAGTGTAGCCGTCATCTGCAGCACTGCATGGCTACGGGGGGGCCCAGCTCGGTTCTGCAGAGAAACCGTGTCGAATGCAGGTTCTTCTGAGCCACTGTTGTCACACGGTGGGACCACAAGATGCATCCGACAGGGCTCAGGCCGCAGGTCTGGAGGGAGGTTAGAAATTCACCCAGCTGGGGCATTCTTGCTTTCTTGAATTCTATTCCTCACTTGATCATCCTGATACCTTCAGGCAGGTGAAACAGGATGCTTCATCTTAAACTGACTCAAGGGGCTGTTTGGAGGGGGGAAAAAAGGTTTTCTTTCTTTCTTTTTTTTTTAATGATTGTAAAAGCTAAAGAATAACAAGGGTGTTTACAGCTTTTCATGTGCAAAACAATGATAAGGTTTAAACAAACTAGTCATCTAAAATGATTCTTATATGCCGATGAGGTGTTTGCAGGTACGTGGGGGTTAATACCACCGACTCTCAATCTGTAGTGGGCATGGTAAAAGCCTAGGGAGCCAGCTCAAAGGCCAGAGCCAGCGCAGGGGTTCTGCTCTGAGACCGGTTCGGTCGGTCCAGGGCCCGGCGGTCTGCACGGCTCACCAGCGGCCTGGCTCCCGGGATGCCGTCTCAGAGGCCGGGGAAGGCAGGCCCCGGGCGGGACTCGGGACTCGGCGGGAGCTGCTGCGTGAGTCAGAAGTCCCAGGGCCCACTTCGGTCAGGGTCCAGGAGAGAGCCCTGCTTGTTTGAAACATGTGGTGATTCACTAACAAAACTATACAGACTCATTCTATTCAAATCGGGACAGAGGGGATTGGGTCAAACGGTCCTCACTGTTCACCAAGGAGCACCCGATCAGACAGCCTCCTGTGAGCCCAGAGAAGCACTGTGCACCGGGGGTGGACTGGTCCATCTAAACCTCAGGCCTAAGGGTCTGCATTCGGGGGGGTGGCCATCTGCTACTCTGTTTTGACTCACAATCTGGGAAATGGTCACAACTTGCAGTTAGCAGGACTTGGGTATTTGCTGGCAACAGGCGATCGTCGACGCGAGTGTGGACACTCAGAGGTTCCAGAAACCTCATTCTTTCCGTGGGGTTTCGAAACCACTGACGTGTGCTCTGGCCAAACATGTAAAGTTGATTGAAAATGTGAAACGGAGAAGGATGTTGTATTTTAATTTCCTTATATGAACAAAGAAAAGCTAGTGAAATGAAGCGAGGGAAAGGAAACATGGACAATTTTTTTTTTTTTGAGGCCCAATGATGGGTCACTCAAGGTCGTTTTGATACTTAGGACTGTGAAGCTGTCTTATGTGTGGGCTGACTTGTAACCTTTTATTTAGATAAATGAAGGCTTCCTTCTGGTTAGAGATGGCGTACGTATGCATGCGTGTGTGTGTGTGTGTGTGTGCGTGTGTGTGCGTGTGCGCGCGTATGTGCGTGTGTGTGTGTGTGTGTGTGTGGTGATGCCTTGATCTGTTTGTCACACCTCTGGTCCTGCCTAAAAAGAAATGGATAACTCTTCATTCTCTTCTGAAGCCTTTCCTGATGCAGCGATACTAGGGTTCTTTGATAGCTGTCAACCAATAGGAACTTGTTCATCTTGAGGGTTCTTTGATAGCTGTCAACCAATAGGAACTTGTTCATCTTGAGGTGTGTAAGGTTGTCCTTTGCTCTCTATTTCAGGTTCATTTAAAACTCTTGAAATGAAGGCATCGAAACCTGGCTGGTGGCTCCTGGACACCGAGGTTGGAGAGAACCAGAGAAAAGGAATGCAGACGCCATTTCTCATCATAGACAGAGGTACCAGGAACAGCCACGGGCTATGTTTAGCAGGAGGGTCCCGTTACGAGAATTTTCCTCAACTTTTAGATAGGAAATCATCAAGTCAGAACTCTGACGTGACACAATCTGCACCAGTATCTGCTGTCTTTCTGGCCACGGTCTGATTGTACTGCACACATCACTCACCTGGAAATTCAAACCAAAGGGTCCAACCCAAGGGCAACCCTCTCAGCTGGGGAACCAGTGTAAGGCCTCCTCCTTCCTGGTCTGTGACCACGGAGCAGTGCAAGTGAGACCTTCTCCAGACTCCTAGCTCGCAGAAGGAAAGAGAGACGAGGAATTCAACAATAACCAAGAACCCGGCACCCCAGTGTTGGAGGGAAAGTTCCCATCTGCCTGACCAGCCAGCCAGCCAGTGTTCTTAAGCACCTGTCGAGGACCAAGCACTGGGTCAACATCCAGATAGTTCAGCGGCTGGTGCTCCCTTAGCCGGCTGTCCCTTCCATAATCCGGATGTAAACAACCCTGTACGTTTCAGGCGAATTTTTCAGAACACAGTCTTTCGAGGGCTAGTACATAATGTTGTAAAATGGTTTATTTTAAGATAAAAGCAGATGGAAATCGTTTTTAAAACTAATTGTATTTCAGGATTTCAGTTGTTTTCCTCTAGGGTGTCACTATTTCTATAAAGTGCCAGTCTTATTAGTGCATTTAGATACATTGTAGTCCGTGCTATAGAAGGTAGGTAATAATATCTAATTACTGACCCACCAGAGGTATAAAGTCTAGCTATGGAGTTATACCCTGTTAAATGTATTGTCTAAGCAAAAATTATTCATTGTTCTGTTTTTTGTAGAATGTAAGATGCCGATGGGACTAAGCACAGGCAGCATAGCTGACACACAGATCAAGGCGTCTGAATTTGTGGGTGAGTAGTAGCATCAGAGCCTGTGGAAGCGCCTCCTACAGTTGTGCAGGATACAGCCTGCAAAACCACGCGTGGCAGCCAGGCCTGGTGAATCCAGGGGTTACTGCTCCTCTCCGGGCTTTTCTCTGTCACAACACAGTAAAACAGCTCCATTTGGGGTACTCATCTGGTGCGGGAAGGAGCGCTACGGCAGGAGCTACAGCCTGTTGGCACCCCCTGATCACTGCCACCCCTCTAGGGTATGATGTTCCCAAAGAGTCTCTCCCAGGAAAGGCCGGGAGCCTGGTCTCTCTACATAGGCAGTCTGACCTCTCAGCAGACTGGGCAAGAGGACACGGTTCTTGTGACCATGTGCCCTTTTCCCAAACTCTCCCCACTTGTCCCCATTCTGGCTTTGATCACACGTCTGATAGTCCGGCCTGATCCCCAGGGTCCCCGTTAATAAGACCCTTTGCTGTGCTGACCACTCATCTATTCAAGAAACTTTGCTGATCGCCCTCTGTGTGTCAGGACCTCCTGACTGTCCTTGCTGCTCAAAGCCCGTCCCAAGGTCAAAGGGCGATTGCCAGGGAAGGTGAGGCTCCCGTCCTCCCTGCCATGTCTTCCTGATAGACAGGGACACTCAGCAGCCACCGCATCAACCTAACGGAGGAAAGACAAATGTGACCTGCATGCAAGAAAGGGGGTGGGTGGCCCTGGCCGGTTTGGCTCAGCGGTTAGAGCATCAGCCTGCGGTCTGGAGAGACCCGGGTTCGGTTCCCGCTAAGGGCATGTACCTCGGATGCAGTTTGTCCCTGGCCCTGGTTGGTCGTGCGGGTGGCAGCCACTCGATGTGTCCCTTTCACATCAATGTTTCTCTCTCTCTGTTCCTCTCTCTCCCTCCCGCTCTACCTGAACAAAAAAAAAAAATGGAAAAATGTCCTCGGGTGAGGATAAAAAAGAAAGGGGGCGGGTGGTGGTCGACAGCTGCCCAGACGCAGGCCTGAAGCCAAGAGGCCATCATCACGGACTCAGCCCGGAGCTGAAGCAGGTGCCGGCCGCTTGTTTTCCCTCCTGCGAAAGGTCCTCTGGGGATCTGGCTTGTCCACGGGGACTGAACCCACTTGAGACATTGCTGATTGTATGTGTGTGTTGTTGTTTTTCTTTTTAATTCAGAATTTTTTTTTTCTTCCTTTGGATTTAGGTTATTGGGAGCCCAAATTAGCCAGATTAAACAATGGTGGATCATACAATGCTTGGATGACAGAAAGGAATTCAAAATTTGACTCTAGACCTTGGATCCAGGTATGACGTTAATCTGATTATACTGCTATTGTAATCATAAAAGTGACACTGATTTAATAATTTCTTACTGTTCCTGCAATGTTGTTAGGGGAAGTCGCAGTTACTGCATGCTAGGCACTATTCTAGGTACTTAAAACGAACCCTATGAGGTTGGTCCTAGTAAAACCTCCCATTTCACACATGAAGAAACTACAACACAGATGAACTAACTTCCCAGTGTCCCGCTCAGCTAGCACTAGGTTGGATGGCATTCGGTCCAGGTCCCTCAGTGCTGGAATACGGATTGCATTGCATCAGTAGCTAAGACCCTGGCGCTGGCTCTCGGTTCTGGAGAAAACTGGTTGGTGGCTCAATGAATTAAGGCAGCGTGTGACCTGCTCACAGGGACAGTTCTGTTCAGCGGCTTTGCTATATTGCAGGTGGACATGCAAAGGAAAGTCCTGCTCACAGGCATCCAGTCCCAAGGTGCCAAGCACTACCTGAAGTCCTACTACACCACTGAGTTCCGTGTGGCTTACAGCTCTGACCAGACCAACTGGCGGATCTTCAAAGGGAACAGCACCAGGAACGTGATGGTCTGTGCACTGCGCCCCTCCGAGTCTCCAGACTCACCCTGTGGCTGCTCTGTGTCCATGACTCTTTGTTTCTGTGAAAAATACTTTCTGGGTGTTAGAAATACGAAGGGCTTTCTTCAGGCCTTATGGAGGACAGTGGTCAAATGATGAGTCTGTGTATTACACATTAAAGGGATAAGCCTGGCTTCTAACATTTCAAAACGCCACAAAACTTCAAAACATCACTTTGTCATCAAACTAAATACCCAGAGGTTTCAGATTGGCACATGGTGTAGGGCGGAGTAGAATACCTATCTGGTCTTGTGCCTTCATGAGCTGATGTTAAAAATATGCCACTAAGAGTTCTGATTTTACTAACTTTCTACATTCCAGTTTTCTATATTATCTATAACTAACTTTCCCTATTGTCACTTAGCTGTTTCTAGTAATAATCATTTCTGATCTATCCAACACCTTAGGAGAGATCAGAAAAGTCCTAAATGATGGTTCTTACTAGTTAGTATTGGAGAGAGAATACAGATTTCAATTAGAGCTCGTAGCTTACAGAATTTTACATCTATACTCACGAGGATGTTGGTATCTAGTTTTATTTTTTTATACCGTCTTTTCTGGTTTTGATATCGGAGTAATACTAGCTTCACGAGATAAATTGGGAAGCATACTCTTCTTTTCTGTTTCGTGGAAGAGACTGTCTAGAATTGGTGTTAATTCTTTAAACATTTGGCAGACTTCACCGGTGAAACCATGTGGCCTAAAGATTTCTCTTCCAGGGGGTTTAAAATGACAAATACAATTTCTTTAGCAGTTACAGGCTTTTCAAATGATCTATTTTATTCTGGGTGGGTTGGGATAGTGTTTTTTCCATTAATTGATCCATTTTCTCCGAATTGCTAAATTGATGTCTAGAGTCCCTTGTCCCTTCCCCTTAGTATCCTGATGTCTGCAAGGTCTGGAGTCATCTTGACTATTTCATGTCTGATACTGGTAATTTGCATCTCCTCTCTTTTTGCTCTTCTAGTCTTGTTAGAGATTTGCCAGTTTAAAAAAAAAAATCTTTCCAAAGAACTGGCTCTTTGCTTCCTTACTTTCATCTACTGTGTTTCTGTTCTCCGTCTTACTTACTTAGTTACCTAGTCCACTCCTATCCTGTTTTGGCTGATCTCTCTACACCGCTCTGACGGGGTGGGGGTGGGGCACGCCTCCTCACTGCCTGGTGGTGGAAGTCCAGCTGCCCACCTGCAGGGGGACTACTCCTCTTTGCTGCTGGGTGGGAAGGAGATGCTCTCCGCGGACACTGCAGGGATGGGAGCCTTGTTGGAAGTGGTCGAGGATGAAGGTCCTGGGTCCCTACCTGGCCGTCTCTGACACAACCCCAGGGAGGATGCTGAGGTGCCTTTGCAGCTGTTGAGTGGGGCGGGGCCACAGCTGTTCCCATGGAGTTTAGCTGAAGTAGAGCAATGATTGTCTAAGGGTGTTTGTCTTGCTGGGCTGCCCTGTTTTGGTTCTGAGACTAGAGAAAGCAGGATGTCACGGTTTTCGTCTGTACCCTTGCTGTTTCCTGGCTGCTGGCTTCTTCTCTTCCAAGTCGGGGTTCTATGGGGCAAAAAGAAAAGCCAAGGAACCACGACCACGTTATTCCTTTGGTTCTAGACTTCTAGCCAGTCTGCCTTCTTCTCTCTGCCTTCCAGAGTGTTCTTATGGTTTTAGTTGTTAACAGGAGGAATAAGGCAAAGTATGTCTATACCATATTCCTAAAGTAGAAGTATCCCCAAATATTTTGTTGTTGTTGTTAATCCTCACCTGAGGATATTTTTTCCATTGATTTTTAGATAGAGTGGAAGGGAGGGGAGAGGAGGAGAGAGAGAAAATGGAGAGAGAGAGAGAGAGAGAGAAACATTGATGGGAGAGAGACTCATCAATTGGTTGCCTCCTGCATGCACCCCAACTGAGGCCGGGGATTGAACCTGCAACCCAGGTACATGCCCCTGACCAGGAATCAAACCCACCCGAGACTCTCTGATGTGTGGGCCAGAGCTCTAACCACTAAGCAAACTGGCCAGGGCTCCCCCCAAAATTTTAAAGACCATATTAAGTTAGTTCTGGCCACATGAAAGCTTAACATTACATTATTAAATTAGACCAAAATTGTACTATAAAATCATTTTACAGAGAATTTTTTACAGAACTAAGCTTCTCTTTTTTCCTCTAGTATTTTGATGGCAACTCAGACGCCTCTACAGTGAAAGAAAACCGGTTCGACCCACCGATTGTGGCTCAGTACATTAGGATCTATCCCAGTAGATTCTACAACAAAGCTGCCCTTCGCCTAGAGCTGCAAGGCTGTGAGGTTAATGGTGAGGAACCCAGATGCGTTATTATCTTGCTGCAACTCAGGGCATCACGGTTGGGAGGTGTGGGAGGAGGGGGAGAATTCTTTGCTCTCTTCAATCACTCAGGCCCCTAAAAACACTTTTGGGAATCGGAGGTTCCACGCAGGTAAATGCTCATAGTGACTCAGATGGACACGGGTTCCACCAGCCAGAGGGCTGGCGCTGTCTCTGAGCAGCACCTGGGTGGTAGGGACTCCGCCCTCACCCCCAAGGAAGGGCCCTGGCTGAGAATGACCTCCACCAGCCCGTTTGCAACAGAACCGCAGTTCAAACCGGGCCTGACTCTTCCCAAGTCCCCCAGGTCATTCGACTTCCCTGTAACAAAGTATCTAGCAACATTCCTGGCTGGTTCGGGTTCAGTGCACGTCTCTGCAAGCTGTCTGCTTCCCCGCACCCTGTGGAGGTGCCCAAGCCTTTTCTGTGGAAGCTGCTAGTGCTCAGGGGATGTAATGTGGCCTGTGCTATAAAGAGATCCAGGTAACCATATGTGGCCATGATAAAATTCTACTATGTAGAACAAAGATGTTTAAGAGTCTCAATAACTGTTCTCCTTCTCTGACTCTTAAAACAGTGCTTTCCAACACGTTTTCATTGCAAAACACGTATCGGAAATAATACCTGTCTAGGGGCCTGGGGTGAAAGAATAAAGGAGCTGACCCCGGGCTTGGCCGACACAGACACCATCTGCTCACGACTAAGGGGAGGGGGAGCCCGACACAGAGACACGCCTAAACCGGCTGCGACACGCCTGCTGGGAAGGCGGGCTCCCCTCTGAGGGCGGAGGCAGAGCCACGGTGGGGCCGGCAGCTGACCCTTGGAATCAGTTCCCTCAAAGCAGGGAATGTTGCACAGTACACTCTCCCCATGAAGTAAAACTTTTGTACACGTAGGAGTACTTGAAACAACTGTATACATCGTTTCCGCTCCTTCCCATACGGTACGTGATGTAAGTGGTCCTCTGCTCAGCTCGCCGAGTGAAGCCGCCCTAAATGGGGCACTCAGCTCTGTGAGTCGGTACAAGGTGGCTGTTGGGATGGTTGCTCTGGTTGTTACTCAGCAGTAACAGTGGCCACGTCTCCGCGGCACCGCGCGCGGCGCAAGGAATGCCCACGGCAAATGCCCACGGCACACAGTCCGTCACACTGCTTCTCTCTCCACAGGATGCTCCGCGCCGCTGGGTATGGAAAGTGGAAAGATAGAAAACACGCAAATCACGGCATCCTCGTTTAAGAAGTCTTGGTGGGGAGGTTACTGGGAGCCCTTCCGTGCCCGTCTGAATGCCCAGGGCCGAGTGAACGCCTGGCAAGCCGAGGTGAATGATCTGTGAACACAGTTCTCTGTTTCCGGAGGAAAACTAAGACCTCGCTCTAAGGAACATGGGCAGCCAGACAACCGTCTCTGGCTTCTGCAGGTTATGATCCTGGGTCCGAGGACCTAGGATGTCTGTTGACTTAGAGCTTTAGCTCTAACTGTGGCTCACGGAGAAGTTATTTATCATCTTTGCAGTTCTTTGTCTAATCTTCATTTCGACCAGGGGTGGGCAAAAGGCCAAGTAATAGATATTTTAGGCTCTGTGAGTCATACATTCCCTGTCAAAACTACTCATCTTTGTCACTGTAGCAGGAAAGCAGCCATAAACATTATCTAAATGAATGAGCATGGCTGTGTGCCAATAAAACTTTATTTACAAAGACAGGCAGGGGGCCAAAACTGGCCTTGAGCTGTAGTTTATAAATCCCCTTTGAGCCAACTTACAGAAACGATAAATGGTTTGGATTTGCAACATCTTTTCTTTTTCCACCCCCACAATTTAGCAATATTTTTCATTTTCTTAAGAGTGCCATTTAAATTTTTTGTTCCCTTTTTTTTCCTGAGAATTTTGTGACATTCCTTTAAACAACTGGCAGCACAATAAAATACTGTAACCAGGGTTATAAAATAGTGACCTAAGTGGAAGAAACAGCTTTCAGAGTTATATTGCCCCTGATATTAGCCCAGTGAGTAATTCAGGTGACGGTTTTAGGGCAACTTTATTTAATAGCTGACTCACTTTTACTGCACTCTTCAACTGGCCTGAGAAATCCGGATAACATTGGAATTCAGAATAATCCCATCAATCAATTTATCCCATTTCCTTTTTTCTACCCTAACTCCCTCCCTGACGTAGCCACACTCCAATTCCCCGGACGCTCTGTAAGATTGCCACGCTACCCTTAAATGAGACCACCTGTAGTGCTGGTGGATAAATAGAAGACCTTCAACACCATACAGATAGTTTTGGGAACCAATATCTATGCCTTGAAATTCATGGCTGGGCCTTCAGAGAATCACAGGATGTTACAAGGCGAGGGATTCTACAACGCAGCTGATCCATATTTTTCCTGTTAAGTCTCAGCACAAAGGAGGTTAAATCATTTTAGTTTAGGCTGGTGGCAGAATCGGAAATCTCACTCTCCCGATCAACAGGTCAACGCTTCTTCCACTAACCCAAACAGCTCAGTTTGCAATTTTTGCAGAGGGGGACACTGAGACCCTAAATAATAAAAGTCATAATATTATATTACATTTATATAATTTTTAAAATAAAATTATAAACATAAGAAAACAAAAAGTAAGAGAGGAAGTCAGATGTTTCCCGGACGACCCTTCGGACTGGTCACGATGCCTCCTTGGCACCCCCCGCCCCCCAGTCTACAGCCTTTAAAACAACGTGCTCCGTGTGCAGTTTGCTCTTAGTCTTTGTGAAGTAATACAGGCTCCAAAGATGAAATGTTCATTTTAATTTTTAATGTTTTCATTTTAAACAGAATTATTGGTTTCACTTATCCTATTAGCATGAAATGTCTTTATAGGGTCTCTTTAGAGAGGCTGAATATCTAAGCTAGACATACATAGGCATGCATGCAGCTTGAAGGGTCTCTGCCCCTTCTATACCCACAGAAAATGTTACGCCTAGGAAAACTCAACGCTACCTATATTCTGTTTCAACCTTGAAGACACACTGCAATACCACCAAATTCTATTAGAGGGTGGAACAAAATTAACAAACATCGAATACAATAATTTTAATTCAATTAATTTTCTTTAAAAATACATAAACATGTGACTATACACACATGTACACATACAGACATGCACATATGAGTGATGTTGAGACAAATGTATCAATATTCATTATGTCATATAGAACTGAATGAGACTATGGGGCATGATCAATCTCGCAGAGGTAAAAATTCATCTCAGATTACTCTAAAACTCAGTTAGTCCTCTGATCCCCTTTTTCCAAGTGTGCATCACCAAACGTGGGATGCGGTGCTTTGTTTGGCCAGAGACAGGGCAATTACTACCCCATATCAAGCCTTAGGTATAGCTTTATCAGGTCTCTCAATAGTGTATGTCTTTGAAATATCTGAAAAGAAGAGATGGGACTATTTCTCCTATTTGATATTAGCAATGGAAAGAAAAGTGGGGCTTTTCTAAAATAAACAGAGAGAGGATGCTACCCCATTCTTTCCCAGGTAAGCCTTCAGTAATATCATCATAGCATCTACACAAACTTGCATACCAGAATTACACTTACAATTTATCAATCTAATATTTTTCCCAAGTAAATTTCATTTACTTGTCTATTCAACAAATATTTGATGAACACCAACCGTGTGCCATGCATTGTGGTAGGTGCGAAAAAACAAAACTGATCAGTCCCTGTCCTTGAAAGAGAAGGGACACAAAGATGTAACCAAATAATGATTGTAAAATGTGTGAAGTACTCCAGAAGAAGTTACTATTAGGGCTGTAACAACAAACAAAAGGAGCAGAGAAAGCTTCCAGGAGACGGAACCCTAAGGGATGAGACAGAATAGAAACCTTTTGAGCTCTGGCAGTTCTGAGTAACGTGGTCTGAAAAAGCAAAGGTTGCAGCACCTGTCCTAGCCATGTGTTCTTCTCATTTGCACAGGCCAACAACAACAAACAGTGGTTACAGATCGATCTGCTCAAAACGAAGAAGATAACTGGGATTGTAACACAGGGTTGCAAGTCTCTCTCCTCAGAAATGTTTGTGAAGAGCTACACCATTCAGTACAGCGACCAGGGAGTGAACTGGACGCCTTACAGGCAGAAAACCTCCATGGTGGACAAGGTACAGGGCGGCATCTTGGCAGAAAGAAAGCACTTAGAAAACTGTGCTGTGATAAGAATAGTACTTTGCATTTGCAAATAGCTCTTTGTATTTGACAAACGTGGACTGGCGTGTACCACCTCATTAAGTCCTCTAAATCCTAGCTAGCTCTGCAGGTGCCTGGTCTTGGGACAGGGACCATGCACATTATCTTTCTGCTTTGGCTGGGCCACTTGTGAGGTAGTAAGAACAAAACTCCAGGGGACGATGTGAGATTTAATTACCTCCGGTTGAGAGACACGGCGCTCGGGCTGCTGTAACAAATGACCATAGACTGGGTGACTTATACACATATTTCTCACACTTCTGGAGGCTGGGGTCCAGAGCAGGATGGTCAGGTTCTGGTGAGAGCCCTGGTCCTGTTATGTCTTCCTATGGCCTTCCTTGTTGAGCTCATGCAGGGAGAGAGCTCCCACGTCTCCTTCCCTTTTTATTATGTGTATTAATTCCATTTAATGTAATCCTAGTTACTGCCCAAAGTCCCCACCTCCTAATGCGATCCCACTTATTTGATGTAAAATATCAAGTTTTATATATGAATTTTGGGAGGACACAAACATGCAGTCCATAACAGGGGTCTAGAAATCCTTCCACTGTGAAATAACGTCGTATTAGCATTGCCTCGGATATACTTGTTATTCCTGTCTGATCAATTACCAATGGTTTGGTTTATTTCTCACTGTAGCAGGATGTCCTCATAGCAGGGTAAGCATCATTGTCATAAACAAATGGTGATTTAGCTTCTGTTGTGTGTACATCTTGGGGAACTTGCAAAAAAAAAAAAAAAGAGGTGGGAGACACAGTTTAGCTGAGGATATAGGGGATGTCTGAAAATGAGAACTATAGACAGGTGGTTGCATTTTATTTCTTTTATAAAACATTTTTAAATAGGTTTGTATTGATTTTTTTTTTTTAGTGAGAGAGGAAGAGAGAGAGATCAAAACATCCGATGTGAGAGACAAACATCTACTGGCTGCCTCCTGCACGCCCCCTAATGGGGATCAAGCCCACGACCTGGGCATGTGCCCTGATTGGGAATCAACCCGGGACCTCTCAGTCCACGGAATGACACTCAATCCACTGAGCCTCACCAGCGTGGTTTATTTCAAATGTTAGTAATAGCTAACCGTTTATTGGTGCCACTATCTGTCACTTACTAGATACTTGTTATGCTTACACACTTTTTTAATCCTTACAACTTCTATAAGGTAAAATTTTATTATCCCCATTTGAAGAATCAAAATCGGAAAATGTAAGTAACTTGCTCAGATTCACAGTTACAAAGGGCCGGAGGGCAGACACGGTTTTGTAGCTGCCCCCTGACACCGTAGCAAATGTTTTCTCTTTCCCTGAGTCAACTCACATCACTGATGAGGTGCGGTCCCTAACGGGGGCTCGCCCTGGAGTGTGATTTTGTCACGGACTGAGGATCATCTCGGTGCTAATGTTGTCTGTGTTCATGAGGCCCACGGTTTGAGTGAAAAGAATTTTAAGAGTATCTGTAAGATGTTTTTATACCCATCACATCATCATTAAGAACGTCCTCGTGTTCTGCTTTCAGGTTTTTGAAGGGAACAGCAACATCAAGGGGCACGTGAAGAACTTCCTCAGCCCCCCCATCATCTCCAGGTTCATCCGGATCATCCCGAAAACGTGGAACCAAAGCATCGCCCTGCGCCTGGAGCTCCTCGGCTGCGACGCTGACTGGAGCTGAGTGCCCGAGGGCACGGGAAGGGTGAGAGACAGCAGGCCGTTCGGAGGGGCAGCGCGTTTCACAGCGATGTTCAACTCTCTACCGGGGAACAGAGAGTCTATATATGGAACTGTTATAACGGAACTCCTTGCTACCATCGAGTGAGATGATGATGGCTCTTCCTTCTGCATTAGTTTGAATGTAAATGGAAAAATATCAAGAACCAACAAGAAAATGGCTTAGCTTTCACAATAATTCAATATGCGATATAAAGCCATATTCTACGCGTGTAGTTAACATGTTTCACGATAGTTCTTTTAAACCCTGAACACATTACTAAAAGAGAGATTATTTTTAAAAACCATATCTAGCCCTGGCCGGTTTGGCTCAGCGGTTAGAGCGTCGGCCTGCGGTCCAGAGAGACCCGGGTTCGGTTCCCGCTAAGGGCACGTGCCTCGGTTGCAGTTTGTCCCCGGCCCTGGTTGGTCGTGCGGGTGGCAGCCACTCGATGTGTCCCTTTCACGTCGATGTTTCTCTCTCTCTCTCTCCCTCCCTCCCACTCTATCTGAACAAAATATTGAAAAATGTCCTCAGGTGAGGATAAAAAAAAAATAAAATTAAATAAATAAATAAATAAATAAATAAATAAATAAATAAATAAAGACCATATCTGGTTAGCTGTCACCCCTACATTTTTCTTTGAAACACACACACACACACACACACACACACACAGAAACTATGATTTAAGAGTAAAGGAAACAAATGAGATTCGTTTAATGGTTGACTTTTCTCGACAGTGGAGAGAAAGACAACTTCTCATGTGACATGGTGAGTACCTGTGATGCCCTGTCCCACCTACAGGACAGCGGTGCCCCGGCCCACCTACAGGACAGCCGTGCCCCGGCCCACCTACAGGACAGCCGTGCCCCGTCCCACCTACAGGACAGCCGTGCCCCGGCCCACCTACAGGACAGCCGTGCCCCGGCCCTCCGGAGGGAAACACCAGGAAGCACACTTTCGGTAGTTCCGCTGGCCGTGTGAATCAGACTGATGACACCGTATCGTGTTCGGTCTGAGGGGTCACTGGACGTAGGACACGGAACCTTGGCTTCGCTCTAGCTGCCACCACAGATTCGAAACGCAGGCTCGCCTGCAGGAAGGCTGACACCTGTACGGCCAGCACTGGGACCCGTTGACCCAAGTGCAGCTATTCCTGTCAGACCTGCCCCTGGCAAATGAACGCGCTGTGGTCACTCTCTGGAAATGCTTAATAGTTTTTTTAACAATGAGTCTAACGTGCAGTTTGCAATAGGCCCCACAGATGATGTGGCTAGTCCGCGGACCCTCTGCTGTAGCAACGGGAAGGATCTCTTCTGATCTCCAAGGTGTAACAGAGGCCAGTAAAGCATGCCGAGTAGTAGGCAGGAGGAGAGATGAGAACGGAGCATGAGACCCAACTTCTTTATCCAATGTATAAAAAATGAGGCTTCGAAGGTTCAACAACCAAGGCTATTGCTTGTTCGCATCAGAGCTGAAACCAGAAACGAGATGATCAGACTCCCAGCCGCTCCTTCGGTCTGGTTTCTGCTTCATGAAATGGAAATGATAACAATTATGATTCATCCTCCCCAGACAGGTAGACATGAATATTAATAATAACTAGCAATGGGTATGAGAATTACTTGTTTGGCAGTCAAGGAAGTGTTGGGTTATATCTGATCCGTGCGGAAATATTAAAACCCCTCTCATTTTGAAATGAAAATATGTACTTTTATTCCTCTCTTTGAAGTCATTCAGATGAAATCGCAACTTTTGCTGTATCATATCCTCCACCGACATAGCATGGACCACTGTTTGTTATGTTACCACTGGTTGCTATGGGAAGGAAACCAAGTGACTCACAGAAGAACCGTGAGTTGGAAAAAGAAACAGATACAATCTGAGCCTTGCTAATCCCTGAAAACGAGAGTTGAAAATGAGGGTAGCACACATGCAAAAGGATCAGAAGAAATTAATGACGTGTTTTAGAACCACTTTGAATGATGACTCATTTGGGCGAGCTCAGGGGGAAACCCTCCGCACAGAGCTATGAGGAAACATCTCACCATAGAGTTGTGCTCTGGGCAGAACAAGGGACGGCGAGTCAGGAATCTGGCGCTACGCTGGCACGCGCCCTAAGGCACGGGGTTCACACATCCTGGAACACATCAGTTTCCTGCTGCCCTTTTTTGTCTTGCTGTTTTTTTCTTATCCAGCCATACCATGAACCACTGTGAATGCCCCATTCTCCCAAGTTACCCTGTTCTCGCAGTCTAGAGGCAGGGAAAGCAGGACACGGGCAGGCAAAAACCTGTGTGTGGCGACATCGACACTGTCAGGGCCCAGGTCACGAGGAAGATCGTCCTAGCTAGGTACCGCGCTGGGAGAGAGTGCAGAGATCTAACATGTGATCTCTCTCTGCTGTATGGAATGTCCTTACCAGAAGACATACGGGTATTTTGCATCTGGTGTATGGAAATAAAACTTAATAATATTAACCTCCTTAGCATCTTAATTTTTTTTTTTTTTAATGTAATAAGCTCATTCTAGCTACACAACAAAGCACCGTGCTGGGCAGTGTAGGGGAGAGAATGTAAAGAAAGAAGATTCTGCTCTGGCTCTTGGAACACTTGTGACACTTGGAGAAAGAAGACGAGCTTACACAGACGGTGGGCAGATTTCACCCTGAGTGGGAAGTAGTGAAAAGTCAGTCCAAGGAGTAACCCGTGGAGGATGGATTCAGACTGTGGGAGCTTTTGGAGAAGGCGAATGGACCCAGACCTGGAAGACGCTGAGCATATATCAAGGCACTCTGCACAGAAACCCACAGGACTGGATTGGGATAAGGGTCAAGGAAGAATGGAGAAGAGAAGAGCTTTATACTTAAGTTCAGGACCCTGTAAGCTTCTCCTGACATGCCCATGCCCACTCATTCTCCCTACTGCCTCGGTACACAGTCTGATACTGGCTCGCCCACCCACCTCCCTCCATCTCGAACCCCCTGAACCATGCCCATAAGTCCAGTGTGTTTGCAGGGTCAAAAGAAATAAAAACAACAGCTGCCTGGGAGGACGTGACAATCTGGGGGTGGGGTAAGAGAGACATACAGATACAGAACATATCCCCAGTCCGCAAGCTGTGAGTGATGGATGGTGGTGACCGATTAAAGGTGGGTCACTGTTGGTAATGTTATATGGATGCCACATCGGACAGGATTCTGACTGGCCCAAGGTGAGAAGGACCAGACATGCTGACCAGAGGGAATGGCAATGATGTAGAAAGTGGGTCAAAGTGTGTCCTACGTGGGAAATGGATGAATTAAGAGATGAGACAATCACGTGGGCATATCTGGATAATGACGAGGTTTTAAAGCGCTGATGTGATTCTCCTACTTTGTTTCATTTTTCCACTCGTCCACATCTGAGCCACCACAAACTCAGCACACGTTCAGATTTTACATCCAGGGGCTGCTTCTCAGTGTCTCAGGAATGACGTACAGATGCTTTCATACACAGTCGCTTTCATACACTCGCTTGTTTTTGCAAGAAATCTGGCAATAGGTTTACCTGGTCCATCAATCTCAGTTCACTTCTACCACTGTTCCTCCTTGTTGACTACAGACTTTCTGAAAGTCTGGAATCCGCCCTGGCCGGTTTCGCTCAGTGGTTAGAGCATCGGCCTGTGGTCCGGAGAGACCTGGGTTCGGTTCCCGCTAAGGACACGTACCTGGGTTGCAGTTTGTCCCCGGCCCTGGTTGGGTTGTGTGGGTGGCAGCCACTCACGTCAATGTTTCTCTCTCCCTCCCACTCTATCTGAACAAAATATCAAAAAATGTCCTCGGGTGAGGATAAAATAAATAAATAAAAATAAATAAATAAATGAAAGTCTGGAATCTAGCAATGACGTTCATAGATAGATGGGACAGACAATGTGAAACTCATTTTCTGAGGAAATGGTGACAAGAGCTATATTTCTATGTAAAGTGTTGAGAATAGTGCTTGGCACATGGTAAGGAAGGGCTACATAGGTATTATTATTAATATTGACATTGTTAATAACAGCAACAGTAGTAATGTAAATAGGATTTACTATAATATCAATATAATGGTGTTAATTATTATGAACAATGATTAATTTCCACTCTGGTGGACACCTTGTTTTCTACTGCTCATTACTTTTTTTTAAATTGTGGGAAAATACACCTAAAAATGGTTGAAATGGCAGGTGTTATAAGCACAGTGTGGTGGTGTTACTTTAAGGACGTTCACACTGTCGTGCAATCATCACTACTTGTCAGAGCTGCTCGATTTTCTACCTGGAACCCACGCTTTTCCCGGTCGGCGGAGAGTCTGACTGCACTGTACACCTCGCCGGGGTCCGAGGACTTGCACACTGAGGTCAAGCTTTAATTACCCAGGCTGAACGCAGAACCACAGCTCGCTCTGGCTTTCTTCAGTGGCTCTGACTGACCTAATTAAGGTTTCCTCCGGGGTAGAGACTGGAAATTTTTTAACAACGGACGCGAACATGAACGTTGTTACATCCCGAGTCCAGAGTCCTGGAATGTGACGCAGAAATTACTGCAAATACTCCACAGACACATTGGATAATTTAAAACAGTATTAAGTAGAAAATCACTCAGCGAGAGAGAAGAACGGGTTGCCGACTGGCTTGCGGACGCTCAAAAGAGGGAGAGCTGGGCTGTGGCGCGGCCTGGTTCCCCCCCCCCCACCCCCTCCCCCCAGGCCGTGAGAGGCGCCCCCTGCAGTGCACCCTGGCCTTTAAAGCCAGAGGCTGGGGGTGAGAGCGCGCTTCGCCATTTGCCAGGTTATTACAGAGAATCGCTTCTGCCCCCAGCAGCTCACACCTGAAGCAAAGGTTCTCATTCTTCTTCAGGTGGCAAAGTAACTGGGAAGCACCACGCTCTTAGCAAAAAATTAACACATCGTAATTATACACACACACACACACACACACACACACATGAATGGATTAGATTTATCTCATCGTATTCCCTCAAAAGATTTAAAATTGCTTAAAAGAAAATAATTGGGTGGGCTTGGGTTTAGCAGGAAGCTGGGTGTGTGTGTGTGTGTGTGTGTGTTATAGCAAATGCAAAAAGAAAAACCTGATTAGTTATACAATAGCGTGTCCCCAAAAAATATGCAAAAGAAGCACTTTTCCTGATAGCAAAGTTAAAAATAAATTCCTCCCAAAGGTGCACAAAAAGAGGCCACCAGGCGATGTGCAGAGCGTGCCTGACAAGCGCAGGTTTACGGATGCTGTTTCCTGGGCCTCTCGCAGGACCCTCACCGAGCCCCATTCAGCAACAAGACGTCAAAGGCCAGGCCGTGTGATGCAAGCGCCGGGCTTGCTGCTGGCCGGGCT